TAAACACAGATCTATTCATTTATTTTGTATTATACCAAAGGTCCATATTCAGCAGAACATACATTCAGCATTTCCACTATTGAAATCCTACTGGAATCTGGGTTAGAAATTAGTGAAGAATAAGGGTGGGGGGAGAGATTATAAATTCAGAGAAGGCAAAGGAGCATTTTACTCAGTCAAGCATTCTCTGGTACTATTTCTAATAATTACAGATTTGATATTTGCTATATGTAGTTGTTTTGCAGAAAACAAATGCATGATATTTACATAGCACCCTTTATGTTATAGAAGAATGCTTCACATCTCCAGGGTACAGAGTTTACCTTGAATATATATCAGTGGTGGGATACAACCGGTACGCCCCAGTATGGGCGTACCAATGCCTGCTGGGAGCACCAGGTACCGTTCTGGTACGGTGCTCTAGAGGGCCCACCCACCCTCCTTACCTGTATTTGAGCTGATAGGAGCTTTCGCGCACAGAGCGTACGGCGCCTGTGCAATGTTCCGCCAAGCAGCTGGAGCATTGCAGGTGAAGTATGCATGCACGTGGTGAACGCCGGGCCCATTGCAGCGTACCGGTTGCAACGGGATCCGGAACCCATCACTGGGGTGTGTGTGTGTGTGTGTTTTTCAAGAGCCCATTCTAGTTTCACATGAAAAGAAGTAAACTTCCGTTCTTAATATTGTCTGTGAAGAGTTGAAAATCATTTTTAATATAATTTTATTAAATGTTTAGAAACATTTTGCTTGAAACTCATTTATTCTTAACTCCCTTAAGCCTCATCATCTACCAGAAGATTTCTGGTTTGAGCCCATTGAACTAAGAAACCAAAGCCATAATTTCTTTTGACTAAGGAACTCCCACAATCCCTTTTGCTTTACTGGAGCAAAAGACCAGAGAGACAGCTGCAAAAAACAACAGTTCCTCTCTTCCTTACCTGACTTGGCCCCATCAGGAGGAAGAAGGCCACAAATCAAGTTGATACCTTCATCCCCCAGCATGCAGTCTCCCAAATCCAAGGCCACAAGGGATGGATGGATGGATAAAGCTGGGTTGAGAATGGCCAGACCAGCATCTGTCAGAGGACTTCCATGAAGGCTGCGTAAAGAAAAAGGAATTATAGTCTCACTTTTCTTTGACTTGCAAATGATAAGCCTAGGTCAGTGTTTCCCAATGTCAGCAATTTTAAGATGTGTGAATTTCAACTCCCACAATTCTGAGCCAGCGTCCACACATCTTAAAAGTTGCTGACGTTGAGAAACACCAGTTGGCATACTTGCTGCATATTGTATTTGTTTTTCAGAAATGAATAAAACCAGGCACTGGTAAAAAAAAAACTCAGGAAGGTTATACTGGAGGATAGGAACACCTGAGCCTTCTGAAACAGGGAGGAGAAAATGCTGATAAAATGTCTTCTCTAAAAGCCTATTGATACATATTTTCCTCTAAACTGTCTTGTTTAGGAGCCTATTTCTTTTGTTGGAAGTCATCTCGAAAAGCAGAGATGTCCAACCTTGGCAACTTTAATACATATGGACTTCAACTCCCAGAATTCCCCAGCTAGAGTGGCACAGGAATTCTGGGAGTTGAAGTCCACAAATCTTAACATTGCCAAGGCTGGACACCCCTGAGACTTTTCTTAGGTAGATTCTTGTTCATGAAAGTTACTTGTTAATTTAGGTGAAAGACATTCTGCTGTGGTTTTTTTTTATAACGAGCCTTCAAGTTCAGGTCAACTGTTCCATATCAGAGGCAGCCATCGGATTTGTTACTCCAAGCTTTTTGTTGAGAAAATTTTGTCCTGATACCCTGTTTCCCTGAAAATAAGACCTCCTGGATAATAAGCCGAATTGGGCTTTTGAGCGCATGTGCTAAAAATATTAAAACACTGAGGTGACCATGTTCACCGCCTCCTGCACCTCAAAAAATAATAAGACCTTCCCAAAAATAAGGGCATGTGCTTATTTCAGGGGTCAAAAGAAAATAAGACCCTGTCTTATTTTCAGGGAAACACGATACTTATCCTTTGTTTGATATTCAACACACAAGCTAGAGCTTGTTGGTGTTGGTTGTCTTGCGGTGTTAGGTGCCTTGCGACTTACTACCCTTTCCAGCCAATAGTCACATGGGTAGCTCTTGCTCTCTACATGTCCCCTTGCAATCTAGTCTTAGTTTCTGTGGTAATTATGTATATTTTTGCACTTTTTTTCTCATTAGCACAGGTAAAGTGAAGTTTTTATTTTATTTAATCTATTAGCTTTAAGGTTTATTTCTCATGTAAAGTAATGATATACAACCCTATGTTTTTACATATTGCCTTAAAATGTGCATTGCCTTTGGTTTGGGTTAGGATTAGAGTTTTTATAGTTTTTGGTACTCATTGCATCTCTCAGAACCAATTAACAACCTGTAATTATAGGGACTAAAGCAGCTTTAAAAAAAAATATAATAAATTTAAGAGGTCTGTCTCAGACTTCCTCTGAAAATGAATGCAAGATTTGGAAGCTCATTTAACTATTCCACCAACATAATGCGACAAAATATGGGTCTATGTTTGTGTCTAGGGTGAAAAATTGCATTCCTACTAAAATCGATTGGATTTTGACTTATCAGCTCCAGCCCAAATAGCAAACATTCTAATTTGTGGCATTTACTAAAGTCTACCTATTACTCTGGAGAATTCAACAGATGTGATTATCAATATTTAGGATTGGATAACCCCTGGTTCTTTAAAATGCATTAAAATCCCATCTCCCAGGACAGGAAGATATGGAATAATAACCATTTAACAATATTGAAAGGATAACAGAACTACGTTGAGGAATTCTAGGAGCCCACCCTCATGCCTGAGTACATTCATTCCATTTAAGTCAATGAAACATAACTTTTTAAAAAAAAACAGCACAACATTTGCCCTGCAGGATTTGCACCCCCCTCCCGGAGTAAGAGGCACCATTCTCGGTTGATACTAATAGGAGGACCTACTCACAATAAAGATTGGACAGAGCGGTTTGTCTTCAGAGCTTCAGCCAATTGCTTGACCCGATTAATATTGGAAACAATTCCTAAATTAAGATTAAGTTGAGCCAAGGAATGAGACTCTGCTACCCCCTTGCAGATGCGACCGAAATCTCTATCGGAAATTTGGCAACCCCGGAGGGAAAGCAGTTTGATGGAGTTCTCCCGCAAACTCTCACAAATATCCCGAATTTCTGCACTGGATAAAGTCTCCCCAGAGATCTGAATAGATCCTGGCAACATCGCTCTGAAAACCAGCAAACACCTTCCGCAGTTGAACTATGTTAATCTGGATTGCTGCCCTCAAAAAAATATGGGAAACCCAGATTAGCGCACCGGGAGCGCTCTGCAACCCAGTTTAAAAAGAGAAAAGCAGAGCGTTACGAAAAGGAGTGAGCCGACAGTCTTTTAATCCTGTGTAAAATCGGAGGACTGGTGCGATTTTAAATGAAAGGAATGCATTGATCAAAACAATCTGCAATTCGGAAAAAATCCTGCCGGGCGTATTGCACGAACTGGACCCGCGGAGAGACATCAATCCGGACGCCTGGTTGCATTGAAGTAAATTCCGAGTTAAAAGCTCAGAGGTGAATAGCGCCTGCCGTCTAGACAGCGGGGAAAGGGAGCGCGCACCATTTCTAAGGATGGGTGGAAAAGTGAGCGGACGGATAGGCGGCGCAGCAGAAATGCCAGGAATACGAAATGCAAAATCCAAATCAGAGCCAAAGTCTTTCCAGGATTTAAAAATCCGGGGCAAAGCGGATCTTCTAGATTCTGCAGAAGCGGGAACTAGGAATCCGCCGGCGAAGGATCCGCCGAGTATCTTCCGGGTTTTCTTCCGTTTCAAAGAAACCCTTGCGCGCTTCTTCCAATCCGCAGAGCTCCAGTCGTCATCGCCGCCTTGCTGCGCTCTCCTCGCCGCCCCACCTGCTTTTCCTCTGGCACCAACCGAGGCCCGACTCCTCCGGCCCGGAGACTGCGGGCTCTGCCTCCCTTCCCCGGCGCCTCCTCCTCCTCCTCTTGCTTTTACCGCACCCGCGGCTACCGCTGCAGCCCTTGACGCAGCTTGACCGACGCGCGGAGCGGATCCGGCCAGTCCTGCCTCCTCCTCCTTGGGTCCCGGGGGAAGGAAGGATCCAGCTTGATGTGGCGCTGTGCCGGTTTCTATGGCTACCCTCCGATACTGGAGCCGCCGCCGCCTCTTGTCAAGACAGCCACTCGGCGGTGCCTGCAGCCACCACTTTTCACACTAAATCCCTCCGCGGGCTGATCCCTTGCAGGAGCCATAAGCATCCCTCTCCTGTACCGCTTCCTCCCCCGGGTCTGGAGAGAAAAAGAAAAAGTCTCCAGGTGGGGTTCGATGGAAGAATTGCAATTACTTTAAAAAAAGCAATAGCTGGACTAGAGCCAAGGGGCTGCCCTAATTTTGGATAAACTTCTATCCTGTGGATGCTTCTGGGTGGAAATTCCTGACCCCAAAGGTCGAAGATCATGCCCTGGGAGTCCACAGTTTACTTGATGCTCAGGGGTATTGTCCCCCTCCCCCATTAACCAGATTCTGTACAAAGCCAGCATTCACCCACCCTCCTAGAGAATGAAATGTTTTATGGAATATTAAAAAGGCAGGATGGAATATTTCCCCTAAAGGAAAAATGGGGGGGGGGAGTCTTAAGGGAAGCAGAAACCAGCCCAGTCTCAACCAGCTCCAAGCAGAAGCAGAAGAGGCCAGCTTTTAGAAATGCAGATTTGGTAATCCATTCAGGAAGACTGGGTGAAACAGAAACTTCAAAATAAGAAACATGCCAAAGGTTGACAAGATTAGCTCAGACAAACCCCTAGGACTTGCATTTCCCCTTTTGCCTATAGAGCCAGCCATGACCCCTACACGATCCCATAGGAATCCAGAAAGTACACAATCCATCCACTCTCAACTCCCTTTTGTCAGCTGTCCCAGAACTGCACACTGTGTATGTGTTAGTTCTGTTCACCAATAAACTGAATCTTTCCAATCAGCCTCCATTTTATCCCAAGCTTGTAAGTGGATTTTTCTTCCAACAATTCAGCCCTTCTACTTCAGAAGGAAGAGCTAAGCTTCCTTTTCCAATTACAAAATCAGAGACCATCCTCCAGAATCTGAATCTGTTTCTTAGTTGAGGGAAAACTGTAGAGGAATTAGGAAAGTGTTTTTCAAACTGGGTAACTTTAAGGTCGGCGGACTTCAACTCCCAGAAATTCCCAGCTATCAATGAAACTCATCAAAAAAATTGAATTGTGGACTTCCTGGGGGCGTGGTCTGTTGCCGAGGAGGGCTCCACCGAGCTCCTCAGAGATCTGGTTTGTATATCTAAATGAGATCATAGATAGCACCCCTTTTTGGCTAAGAAAGGGGCAGGGAGGATAGCTCCGTAGGCTAGGGTCTATTCGTAAGCCACAGCCTTTTTCTTTTTTTGGCTGTGGAAAGAGATTAGATCCAGCCGAAGCGGAGCTTCTATCTCCAGCCATTTCTTCTCAGCTGCCTTTTTTTTTTTGGCAGCCCCAGACAGGCTAGCCCCCCCCAGGACAAAACAAAGTTTTTTCAAGCTAGAATTGATACGGGAGGGTACCACCCCTGTGAGATTTATGCTTTTATTACTATCTTAAATACCAGCACCATTCGTCTTAAAGACTTCTTTGTTTAAATAGACTTCAAAATG